CTACAACAGACCTCACGGGTAGGAATAGGAACCAGAGCCAGCAAGACCACCTCCAAACAACTTCTCGGGCAAGGGCTGAACAAAGCAAACACAGCCCCCCAACTAGAGCCAAATCGAGTCCAGCAGAGGCCACGTAGAGGCCAAACACGAGAGCTCTTAAAGCTAGGAAAAGAGCTTTAACACCTTAATAAAAGTCAAGCCTCAAGTCCTCAAGTCTCCACAAAAATCACCACAAAAATCAACATCCCATACTCCTGAAATGAAAACCGAGCACCAACAAAAGCCCAAAGTTGAGCCATTCAAGGCCCAAAACCGAGCCCAACAATATTAAAATCCAGACTCCCATAAAGCTTTAAAGATCCAACCATTTCAAACCCAAAACTGTGACTCTAAATCAAGCCAAAATCGAGCCCAGCAGGGGCTAAAACCGAGCCTTACCACATTAAAGATCTAGCCATTTCAAGCCCAAAACCGAGACTCCAAACCAAGACAAAACCGAGCTCAACAGGGACTAAAACAAGACCCAAACGTTGATACAAATTCAAGCTTTAACATAAATTAAAGTTCCAGCCACCTGTAGGTAAAACCGAGCCATCCAAAGCCAAGGAACAACCTGCATGTCTAAATATTCCAAGCATACAATGATTCCAACAGATTTTTTTGAGCAGGGGAGACGCCTCACGAGGAGCTAAACCAAGCCCTCAGAACAAGCTACACCACTTTCCAAATTAAATAGATTTTCTCATAGCATACATTTCAAGCCAGGGAAAACCACAGGGAGCCAATACCGAGCCCCCAAACATGCATAAAACAGTAAAATGCACTCCCTGACATTCATGAAAGGCCAAATAACCTCTCTAATATTTCATGCTAAATGAAAATAAGTGAAAGCCTTCTTAATACATATCCCAACATGCTTGCAAGAGGAGCTAAAATTATTTCAAAGCCACATTTCAAGCTTCCTATTCACAATAATAGAATTATGCCACTGTTTTATCTCAAGCAAGTAGAGAGAAGGAGAACACTTATGTCATGCCATACTTCCACCGTTGTAAGCGAGTAATAAAATCGAACTCCTGAAACATGCTCATATTTCTATCCTTCACATGCTTTTAGAGTGAATGCTTCAAAATATATGAAAGTAAATAAAACTAGCATGCTGTACCATCCAACAGAGCCAAGCTCAAAGGCTCGGCAGAGAGGAAA